CTAACTTACGAAGAACTCACAACTATGCTGACTCAAATAGAAGCCTGCCTTAACTCACGACCTCTGACTGTCTTAAGTGACAACCCTAATGATCCTCTCCCACTGACGCCTGGACATTTTTTGATCGGCGAACCTGTGCTAAATGTAGCTGACCAAAGTCATGCTTATGTAGACATTAGTTATCGCGATCGTTGGCGGTTAACACAAAAAATGGTCACTGACTTCTGGAACCGATGGTCTAAGGAATATCTTGTAATTCTAAACAATAGGTACAAAAGGAATGTTAAAAATAACTTAGAACCGGAAATTGATGATGTAGTTGTTATACAGGAGGATAATGTTCCTCCTGGTAACTGGATTATGGGTAGAATAGTTAAAAGCATATCGGTCCCGACAATGTGACCCGGGTAGTATCGATCAAATGTAGAAGCGGAACGCTAAAAAGACCTGTATCAAAAATATGCATTTTAACTAAATAATTAGTTTATTTTTAATTGTTATTTTATTGTTATAAATGTTCATTAGTCATTTAAAAGTGAAAAAAGTCAATTTATATATCAACTTACTATTGTTAACAAAAACCTTATTTGGAAATATGTAATAGACAAAATATACAAACTATGTAATACTTACCTGTATGTTTTTAAAAATTATATATATACTGTGTTAGATACCTGTGTACTTTACTATACTACGCTATAATACACATATATTAATAGACATGTGAATTGTTGTGTAATGCTATACCTATCCAACTATGTATGCAGACATATTACGGTGGGCGGTTTGTCTTATTTTTATGTACAATAAGCCATTTAAATATGATGAAAAACAATGTCTGATGCATACTATTGTGTCTTTCATGAAACAATTGTATTGAACTATAGTTTGTAATTTTGTTAAGTGTTTATTTTTTCTTTCATGTTATTTCTTTAAAGGACTGCGTCCTTTAGTGGGCGGAATGTCCAAATATGTATACAGTCCACTACTCTTAGTCAGTTAAAATAAAAGTGTCATACGATTCGCACGTGTTATTATTGCAATTATTTAATTCAAGACCCTCAATCAATTAGTGATCAATTCTCAACTATAACTCCTTAACACCTGGTTTATAGATGTCCCTCCAAACCCTACAGGCGAACATCAACCACTGCGCCAAAGCTCAGGATCTTTTACTCCAGAGCATGGCGCAGTGGTTAATCAATATCACAATAGTATCGGAGCCGTATGTGATCCCCCAGAGGGAAAACTGGTTTGGCGACCGCAACGGTTTAGTTGCGATTGCCGTTTCGTTGCCTGAAGGCTTGCCTCGAGCCTCGCTAAAAGGAAACGGCTGTATCGCTGTTAAACTAGAAAAAATCGTTGTAATTGGAGCTTATTTTTCGCCGAACCGGAGTATTACAGAGTTCGAGGCCTTTCTGGCTGAAATGGGCTCCCTGGTGGAATGGGCTCGACCATTAAATGTTATTGTTGCAGGGGATCTCAACGCGAAGTCGTCTATGTGGAACTCTCCGGTAACCGAAGCCCGTGGCGATGCGGTGGTTGATTGGATCGCCACTCACAACTTGGTGATATTGAATCGAGGATCGGAACGCACATGCGTGCGAATGCAGGGCAGTTCTATCGTTGATGTAACTTTTGCATCCCCGGAACTAGCACATCGCGTCTCCAACTGGCGTGTACTTACAGAGGTTGAAACGCTTTCGGACCATAGGTACATTCGGTGCCTGGTGAGTCCCCATCAACAGCTACCACCAGCAACTGGTAGATCAAATCAGCCTCCACCGGAAATAGGGCCAAAATGGTCCCGTAAAAAACTGGACTTTGACTCCCTGTCTTTGGCATCTTTGACAGAGGCGTGGTGCCCTAAGCCAAATACTATCTTAGCAGATAGAGAGGTGCAATGGTTCGGAGAGGCTTTGCGGCGTATTAGCGACGCTGCAATGCCAAGGATCCGCCCTATTCCGCCCCGCCGACAGGTGTACTGGTGGTCGCCTGAACTCACCCAGCTACGGACGGCTTGTGTAGTTGCCCGACGCCGCTACACCCGATTACGTCGAAGACGCCTTGCTCCACGCGATCCGGAAGAAGAAAGAAGGTGCTACGGCGAATACCAAGCAGCAAAATTAACTCTGCGCATTGCAATCGGAGAGGCCAAAGAGAAAGCTTGGGAAGATCTTTTACAAACTTTGGAGCTAGACCCATGGGGGCGGCCATATAGGCTAGTGATGACCAAGCTGCGCCCCTGGCTTCCGCCACTCACTACCACTCTAGAACCGGTGTTCCTGGATACGGTAGTCTCCGCGCTATTCCCGGCTAACAGTTCGCAACCAACATCTCGCGACGACCTCCACTATGATGAGGAAGTCCAAGAAGTGACGCCTGAGGAACTCTCTGTGGCAATACTAAAGCTTCAGAGCAAAAAGACAGCCCCCGGACCAGATGGTGTTCACGGGAAGGTCTGGGTCCATGTCCTCAATAACGGGCTGGAAGAAAGGTTTCGGGAGTTGCTAACCCATATTTTACAGAACGGCCACTTTCCGAGTAGCTGGAAGACGGGAAAACTTGTATTATTAAAGAAAGAGGGTAAATCACCTGAGTCCCCATCGGCCTATAGGCCGATTGTTTTATTAAATGAAGCAGGCAAGCTATTCGAGCGAGTGCTAGCAGCCCGCATTGTAAAACACCTTGCAACGGACGGGCTGGATTTGGCCGATACCCAATTCGGTTTCCGGCGCGCCCGGTCTACCATCGACGCCGTTGCAAGGCTAAGAGACGTTTGCGAGGAGACACTCGCGCAAGGAGGGGTGGTGCTGGCGGTGTCATTAGATATAGCAAACGCTTTTAACACCATCCCCTGGAATACCATTATAGACGGCTTAATCTTCCATGACGTACCAGTATACCTCCGGCGCATGATAAGGTCCTACCTTTCGGCCCGAACCGTCATCTATCCGGGTCGGGGAGGTTGGAAGGAACACAGGGTTGAGTGTGGTGTTCCACAAGGGTCTGTTCTAGGCCCACTCCTATGGAATATCGGATATAACTGCGTCCTTCGTGGCTCACATCTACAAGGTGTCAGCCTAATATGTTATGCCGATGACACACTTATCACTGCAAAAGGTCGTACATACAGAGAAGCTTGCATCCTCGCAACGGCGGGGGTGGCACAGGTTGTGGCGCAAATAAGGCGCATTGGCCTCCAAGTCGCCCTCGAGAAATCTGGGGCGGTCTGTTTCCACGGCCCAAGACGAGCTCCTCCTGACGGTACACAATTGGTCGTATGTGGTGTGCCCATAAGAGTAAGCCCCACTTTAAAGTATCTCGGGCTTGTCCTCGATTCTCGATGGACTTTTAAGGATCACTTCTCGGTACTTGCCCCGAAGCTCGCTACCACGGCTATGGCACTCTGCCGGTTAATGCCAAATCTTGGTGGGCCGAGTGCGGGGTGTCGCCGGTTATTTGCAGGTGTGGTCCGGGCGAAGGCCCTCTACGGATGCCCCATTTGGGCCGATTGTCTATTCGCTCAAAACAGGGCGATTCTGAGACAGTCGCAACGGGCGATGGCCATAAGGGTGGCAAGGGCGTACCGCACCGTCTCTTGCGAGGCAGCGTGTGTTATTGCAGGAACTGCCCCCTGGCACCTCGAAGCGGCTGCCCTAGCCAAGATCTATTGGCATAGGGCAGATAGCAGAAGTAGGGGTTTCGACCCCCTTCCTGAGCACATAAACAGTTGGAGACGGGAAGCCCAAGTGACCGTCCTTCAGAAATGGATGGATGAGTTACAAGATCACAGGGCAGGAGTCTGGACAATTACATCTATACGTCCAGTGCTCAACTTGTGGGTAAATAGAAGATGGGGGGCACTCTCGTACCGACTCGTTCAGGTCCTCACAGGCCATGGATGTTTCGGTGGATACCTTCACAGGGTTGCCAGGAGGGAGGCATCCCCCATTTGTCACGAGTGTGGTTTCGCAGACGACACAGCGCAACACACTTTAGAGGTTTGTCCGGCGTGGAGCTCTGAGCGTAGTTTATTAACCGCCACCTTCGGATTGGATCTGTCGCTTCCAGTCATAGTGAAAGCTATGATGGAGGCTGACAGTGACGGCCCGTGGAACACTTTCAAAGCGTTCTGTGAGGCCGTCATTACACTTAAAGAGAATGCGGAGAGGGTTCGGGAGTGTAACCCAGATGCCGACCCTCAACGCAAAAAAAGGCCTGGAAGGAGACGTCGCGATTACGCACGTACTCCACTGTGCCCTTAGCACAGAATTGGGCAACGCAGAATATGTGCTCACACAGCAGACGCTCATGACGGAGGCACGGATTAAGGGAAACTGTTACCGCGCCTACCGTCCATAGCGAACAGATGGGGCTGTTGGGTTTTAGTGGGTAGGTGTCCATTGCACCATACGGACTGACTCCCACACTCCCTGCGTCACTTTTAAATCGTTGCCCCGGCGCGGGGGTCAGTAAATTGATTTCCCAACAATAAAAAAAAAAAAAAAAAAGGACGTCTGTCGGGTCCGCTAGTAGATTATAATATTTCAAGATAGACAATATAAAAAAAGTAATAACTAGCCAGGGCAATAAAATATTCAGAATTTAGAACGTTTTATTTATAAAATTAAGTATATGGGTTTTAGTTAATAAGTGTTGCATGATAAATACACAAGTATCGATAATTGTCGGATCGGATATTTTTTTTTTTTTTTTTTAATTTGGACCACAAAATTAGGACAAACACATGATATAAATTGACATACATACATAAATATCAAAAGCGGTGCCGTCCCTATAACATGTGGACACGACCAGCGAAATCAAGTAGATACAAAAAACAGTGTTAAATACAAACAAACATAAAAATTAAATTAGTTAATTAGTGGAGAAGCGCAATCCGGCCTTCCGATATTTTTCTCATGACTCATTCCGGTATCCGACGTCGGACCGGAGCAGTGGAGAAAGCGCCTTAAAGTATCTGATTTAGTCCGGAATCACTGACCGTGTAGAGCGAGATGTCCGAGCGGCGTGAGTCGGGCACGCGGGTCGTGCGTAAGAGGGCGGTCGGCGCGCAGCCAGCGGGCCCTGGGAGGGGGGTCTCCGCGCCAGGTGCAGGCCAGTTGCAGCGCCCTACCGCATCCCACTCGAGTCCACAAGCCGAACGATAGCACGCGCACACCCGCTGCACGTATGTCGAAGTTAAAACAGGTATGAATAAATTGTGCAATAATAAAATATTAATTCAGAATATACCTCTAGCGGTGGTGGTGGCGGGTTGCGGAGCTGAAGGCTCGCCCTCGCCGGCGGCGGAATGCGCCGTGACCCAGGCCTCGTAAGTGGCGCCCTCGGCTAGAGGTCGCAGCTCGGCTATTCCGCCTAAACCGAGCAACGTTTCGCCGTCCTCGGCAGGCACTCTCGTCGTCTGCGGCGGTCGCTCTCTGCGGGAAACCGAAACCGTAACCGAAGCCTAATGTTGCGATGAATTCTAACGTTCGACTGTTACCTGCCCAGCTCTCTATAGAAGACGGTGTAATAGAGGAGCGGTCCAGTGGGCCTCACGGGTGGCAGCCAACTGACCGCTAAAGCTGTAGCGGACGTGGCCACTACTTTTATGGCGGCCGGTGGTCCTGGAACTGTACTCTGCGTTCAAACTTAATATAATTTTCAGGGAACGGCGTTTAATCGTGTATAGACATACCACCTTTTATATCTTTAAATTCCCCGTCTATTGACGTCGTATAAAAGGGAAACGTCTTAGCTGAATTGCAAATACCTAATACCAACAGAATCAAATTATGTCTTATCAGGTTTGATCGATTGTGGTTCGCCTGTAGTTGTAGTGAATAGTAGCTGACCGTCCTGGTGTGTGGCACAGCGCAAAGGCGGGGCGGGAGCGCCATCTCCGGCGGCGGTGTAGGCCAAGGCCTGCACGGTGTAGTTGACGTGTGGCTGCAGCGCCAGTACGAGCGTTTCCACGCCCGATACCCGCTTCACCTCTGCGCCCCAACTTCCAGCGCTCGCCCCGCTGGCACCCCGCACGTCCCACTCCATCCATTCCGCCGCTGACGACAAATAACTAACATTGTTCAGCTACAATCGCGTTTTGTTACTCTAACCCTAATCTTTATTATGATAAGATTCTGAACTATAAGACAATATCAATGATCGCCAAATCGTATTCAAGTTCCGAGTACTCACTGAGTTCAGGCCGGTATAGAAGTTTATAACCCAACAGCGCTCCGTGGTGCGCGTGAGCAGGAGGCGGAGACCACTCCACTTTGAGGCTCTGCGGCGATACCGCTCTACAGCGGACCGCTCGCGGGCCCTCGGATGGCACTTTATTAGATATTTTAACTTTTATTTCTTTATTTCTTTATTGAATTTATATCTAGATATCATATAAAAGGCTTACCACTTTCTTTAGTCAACGTGGTCACTGGGGGAGTGGCCGGTCCGGCGCCGGCACTATTGAAAGCTCTGACGCTCACTGAATACCTGGTGAAAATAATAATTAAGTGTTCTGCGTCTCGTCCTATACAGTCGTCATTTTTGAAATGAACTAACCTTGTGTAATGTTCCAGTCCTTCAATGATGTACTTCGTGACCTTTCCCCGGACTGTGGCGAACTCCATACCGACGTTGGCTCCGCCCGACACCGCACCGTCCGCCGAAACCCACCACCACACCGTGTACCCCAGGAGCTCCCCGTTCCATGACGACTGCGAAGGCGCCTGCGTCATACGCGACCGACTTTACGAGCGGTCTAAATATGGATCTCAGATCTCGGTTAGTCCGATAATCCACGCCGTTCATAGAGGGTTTAGCATATTCCGAGGGATGAGTGTTACCTGCCAGGCAAGTTCGACGGTGGCAAGCCGTGGAGCGGATGCACGCAGACCGAGGGGTGGGCGGGAAGGTGGCTCGTGCTGCGTGAGGGCCAACACGGCACGGGTATGTGTAGACGCAAATTGTGCTGTCAGCGTACGAGCACGCACCAAATAGGCTGTGGCTGGCTCCAGCGAATCGATAGTGGCGCTTTCCATACTAAAGGAATTTCAATCTTAGGTAGGTACTGGGATCCATTAAAATTTACACATTACGACCTACGTCATTGTAAGGAAGAAAAACACTTATCAGTGACATCTTATGACATTGCATTTCAAAAAGCCGTTACTCACTCAGAATAAGCGTCGTGGGAGGGCGAGGAGACCGACACATTATGCGCTCGTGCGTCAGACCAGCCGTCGGATGCAGGGGGAAGGTGCGTATGCGGCCGATACTGCAGCTCGTAAGAGACCACGGGTGAGTTGCCGTCGTATGGTCGCCGCCATGACACTCGCACCGATCTAGAAGTCGTCTCCACCACACGAAAGTCGCTCGGTGGCTCGGGTGGCTCTAAGAGTTTGTATTCAATTTATATTTCAGGCTTTCTGAGGTGGTTAAAGCTTCAGTTACGTATAACCAAATCGAGCTTTCATCACCTTGTACAGCGAGATGCAGGAAGTGGTCTGAGCGGCCATAAGGGTTCGAGCCCTGGCAGCGGTACACGCCGGAGTCCCGTCTTCCGGCGCGCTCTACAACCAGCTCGCTGCGCAGACCCTCTGCACTACGCGTCTCCGAAATACTCATCCTAGGAAAATATAAGGTCTATTGAAACGGCGTTTCCCTAAATATAAAATAACGATTAATTAAGTTTCTTTTTGGGAGTAACTCACATTACTTGTTATTAAATTGACCTTATTAAGACCGAAGGTGAGACGGACAGAAATAACTCGATTGATTTGACTTAAAAAATAATTCATGTAACATGTCTCCACACCTGTAGTCGGAGTTAGGGAGCGGTCGGCCGGCGTGCGTCCAGGCGATGGCGAGCGGCGTGTCACCGCGAACCACGCACACCAGCCGCACAGACTCACCCTGCGCCGCTGACACGTTTGCCGACTGAGACTCGAACCGCGCCGGCTCTTGATTTTAATTTTATATAATAAAAATGGCACAACGAAGAAATGACATATAGTTTTGACACGTTGAAATATAGTTGCGTGCTTCACTTATGTATAAACTGCAATAATGCTCCTGAGGTCAGTGGTATTCAAATGCTTACAAATCGCCAACTTACTTTACCAACAACGGAGTTTTACTTAGGTCCCACCATTAATGTAACTCACTCGACTTTGTAAATAACATACATAATACTGCATCTGGGCTTTGGCACGTCACTATAGACACGTGCCGTGTTATAACCGAGCCAAATAACAACAAAACAAGCACTATAATAGTAATAAGGTAAATTGTCAATTTCAATTACCATTGACGTGTATCTTGAGGGTCTTGGAGAGTGGCGGCGGCACGCCGTTATCGGCACGGCAGCGGTATCGGCCGGAGTGGTCGGCACGCGCCGCCGCCAACCACAGCGACCCATTGCTCAGCACGGCCGGCTCTGATACGGCACCCAAAGCTGTCTCTGTGTTTCCTGCCCATAGACATACGGCTGTAATTCTCACTATCAATCTTAAAAGTAGTCACATATTAATAAAAGATTCGCATTAATATCTCACCGGTAAGTTTGGTCCAATAGACAGTGGGAAGCGGGTGGCCTCGTGCGTCGCACGACACGGTGAGGGACCCGTTGAGCAAAACTGCGCCGTCCGTCGGCTCCGTTTGCCAATACGGCGGCACTGTATGCAGACGATTGACAATGTCGAAATAAACTTTCTAAACTCATTTAGAGGAAACGAAAATATATGCTTTAAATTTATGATTCTACTTCTCGCATCAGCTACGTCGCACCGATGAGCTGGACCTGGCTTAAGCGATACAAATATATGGTGCGGATAGTTAAGTTAAAAGAGTGTAAAGGTATAAGGAATACATAGCTAATGCTTTGTAAATATATAACTATAGTTTTCAAACAACAAAGTACTTACTACTTATGAAGCATCAAAAACATTATTAGCGTAAGCTCCAAATAATAAAGTGAAAGAATTATTGTAGAGCGTGACAATAAGAAAGCTGTTAGATAAAATAGTTTTTGTTTACTCGCTTCATAAATCTCAAACTTAAAGTCATTTTTCTAAGTGGTTTAAAATCCTAACTTTTGCGCCCAGAAAGTTGTGAATATTAAAGTCGTTAGATCCTTCGTGGCTCTGGCAAACATCAATTATTCCTTATAACATGTTATGGAGAGTTAAGTTACGATACCTTTGACGGCGACCTCGGCGGAGGCGTTGGCTCGTCCGGCGGCGTTGGTGGCAACGCAAGTGTATACGCCGCTGTGCGCCGCCGAAACCCGTTTGAATACCAGCATGCTGTAGAACTCCGCGCCACGCTCTTCCACCTATTATCCGATTTAACAATTTTTCATTGACAAAATCGCTTCTTTGATGTTTGGAAATCAACTTCTTTAAGCGAATTAGTTAGTTGTGTTAGAAAGTTTAGCGATATAGTAGTAAAATGTAACCTGTAGCGCGGTAGAGACCGGCAGACGATCTTTGAGCCAGGAGAAGTAGACGGGCATGTCGCCCGATGTCACGGTGCAGGTAAGTTGGGCGCGGTCGGCGGCGCGTAGGGCGGGCGGTGGCGATAGCGATACTACCGGCGGCGATACCACCGACACTTGCACCTGACGTTGACACCGAAATCGTAAAACTCTTGTTTAAATTGGGAGTTCAATCACACGTCTTAATCGAATAATCACCTCTCTTCTAGCTAATTCTCCTCCCGGTGTCATGACTGAGCAGGTCCAGCCGCCTTGGTCTCTGCTCTTGTCCACGTTGATAATAGTCAAACGGCCGTCTTGCTGTTGATATCTCGGATCGGAACCCATTCCTCCTTCCCATTTCACCGAGCTGGATGGTTTGAAAGATTAACGTCAACGTGGTACCTTGCTCTTGTCTATAGACCGAATTTAATTTTTAATAGAATCGTAAAACCCACTCGATCGGAAAGCCGTAGTACGGACACCAGACTGAAATTTCCGTCCCAGCAACGGCCTTCACTGGGTTCATTGCTCGTATGTATGGTGGACCTACAGACAGCATATATTATTTTTAAGAAATTGTTGCGTTTTGGATTTCATGGTGTAATATAATTCGTAGATTAAAAGTTCAGGCCATCATGTACCGTAAACGTTGAGACGGGCTAAGTGCGCTACAGAGCCGTGCGAGTTGACGGCGCGGCACTCGTAGCGGCCTCCGTGCTCCACTCTTGCACCCCCCAATGACAAAGTCGAGACCACGTAGTTATGGCTGCCCCCCACGCCCGAGGGACCACTCTCACGGCCCTCCGATATGGAGGCCCTGTGCAGAAGAAAACGATGTAAGGTATTTTATCTTTTGTCATAATGTTCATTAGAGTGATAATCAGCCTTAATGCGTTAATATAAACACAATAATAGATTTAGTGTTTAATTTGCGCCAACTTAATCTTGGAACTCAGGTAAATAAGGAAATTGGCCGATACGTTATAAACATCTTGGTGCCCATATTGGAAGCAATAGAAGTAATCTCTAGGATTAGAATACATAAGCGATCACGTATGTGTATATCGACGGATTTTATTATATTATAACATTTTTGATGAAATACTAATAATAAACATAATCTAGATTTAAATAATGTCAATCCAGTGGCATGCTGGTTTCCTAACGTTGATTGATTGCCTTCTTTGCTGATTTTTAACTTTCATGACACGAGAAAGTGTTGTTTGCTCACAATGAAAGACAAAAAAGCACGTTTTATTTGAAAAGGTCTTATGTGAATCCAAATTGATTTGCATCTTCTGTTTTTTTATTATTCTAATTTACATTTCAAAACACACGGTAAAATTGTATTGTTTGATTTTTAGCAGTTGAATTCAATAAGATTAAGAGCAAGCTACTTTTAAAATATTCCCGAGATATAAGAAAAATGTCGGAATGAAATGGGACAAATTGAATATTCACTGACTCGACGGTATTATGCAGAATCGCGAAAGAACTTTTAATACCAGACAAGGCCTTCAATGTTATTCCAAGATAGCTGTTAAAAGCTTAATTGTTTTCTTTAAGGTTTCCCACCATGTACACTGCTTGAAGCTCTAGATTACAAATTGTCTTATATATTACAAAATTCTATTCTCTTCTATGCATGATTCGAGTGTTAAAGTTATTCAATATTATAGTCCCTATCTTAATTAGCAAACCAATTTACCCATGATGTGAGGGAATGGGTTGTCCATCCAGGGTCCATCGAAAGCGCGGAGGCGGATCCCCGAGGGCAGAGCACTTGAGGGCGACTGCAGCACCGGGCTGCACCGCCTGCTCTATGAACGTGTACACTAGCTCCGGAGCCGACTCTACGAACCACGTTAGACATGCTAGTGTCAATATGCCATAGTAAAAGTTCATTAAACTAATTATATTTTAATTTCCACAAATTGGCAATATTCAGCGTGAGCCTTCTGCTGCCTTTATTTATTCATCATGAAACCTTTTTCGCTCACCTGATAGTTCACTAGCTTACGATTACGATTCTGTGTTGGAATTCATGAGATGTTAACATTATTTCAGAAGAAGAAGAAGAATGAAATGTATTATAAGTACATACATGAATAAACGTTTGTTTACCTGAAGAACGCCTCGCCCGTTTCCGTTTGTGAGCGCGATTACAACCCGTCTCTGCCGCTAATGAGCACCGCACATCTGACAACGAAGCAACGATATTGTGTACTCACTAAATAAACCAGCTAACTACACTTTTCTACAACCTCTCTCTATATTCATATAGCTAAATAATACGATAGTGCGAAGCGATATTTAAAAACCTCGCATTTACTTTAAATTACTTGACAAACTAGATAATATAATAGGTATATTACAAATTTCGAAAGCTGTATCACATTGCAATTATGTTAAAATTTATTTTTGTTTTAATTGTTTTCATTTATGTTTACAAGAAATTCTCTGGCCTATGTCAGGGATATTTTAAAGGCTAAAATATTTGATGTTGCTGTGGGATTACGGGAAGCAGGCCGCGCCACTTATCTGACAATATTCTTTAAATATTTACAGGCAAGAGGCAGCATGGTCATTCTCCTTCCTAGTAATACGTTTCAAGAGCTTAAATTTTTTTTCGCAGAAAACTTCCAAGTGAGACCTGGAGGTCTTTAATACGTTTGCTAACTGCTCCAGAGTTAATTTGTATTCATTTGTTGCACATTCAATTTTTATCAAGTTTTTTGTCAAACTTGCAATTATGGCCGGACGGTACCGTTCATCCCACTCATTATTATTTATGACATCAGGATGAGACAGTTTTTAGGATATTCCTGTAAAAAATATAAATGGAACGTAATATATACAATAAGAGTGCAAAGCCTCTCGCAATGTTCCATAACGGAGATCTCGGACGGAATGTGACTCGTTGAAAAATTCATTCTTTTTCCGTTTTACTGCCCGCATTCGTTCAGAATTTACAACGCCGTAAATCGAGCGACCAAGCTAAAAATTTACAACCCAATGTGATACTTTCTCTGGATACAAAACAGAATTGCTCCTTCAGATCGTACATTGCTATTTTCAATAATTTATAAATAAAACGACAAAAGAAACTCTGTTTCGCAATATAGAAGCGACCTTTATATTACACTAATAATTGCCATATTAACAAATAACGGAAACTGCTTAAAAACTGCAACATGAAATCATAAAATAATAAAATTTTCGTTTCGCTAAAAAAAGAAGTATATACGATAACCTCGTTATTCGTTGGTACAATAGATGCTTCACTAAACGAGCTTTTGACATATGAAAATAAAAAATCGTTTGCCACCCCTCCCCCTACTCCCGGGTTCTGCCCTTCTCCCAGATTGATGTCAGGCGGGAAATTTCCGGCGAACTATTCCAATTTCAAGTTTCCTTTGGCTGAAGTAACCGCTGGAGCAGTCCCAGAATATACTCCAACATTGACCTCGCCTTCTTTGCTTTTTAAATTCAATAACCGCTGTGGTAATGATGATAATAAGGCGTTCACATTTTACCCGACATTTGTTATTGTGTAAATGGCTAATGTCCGTTTTGGGCATATCGAAAACATAAAGCCCTATTCGCCGGCCCTAACACACTTTGAATAATATTACGCGAAATGGAATTTCGTAGGGAAGGTAATTTCTCTCCTAAATTCGTTGAGATATAAATACATTATTATAAATATAGATATACATGTTGTTCAGTGTTTCATTCATCCCTCCGTCCGCAGGTGATAAGAGAGCACTGATAGGGTTTTCTCACAACAATTTGCTCTAAGCCGAGGCCTTATTTTTCTCTCTGAGTGGGAAGGAAATTTATGAGCGACCCCAAAGCAATAAAATACCTTGCGAGAAAATGAAGGAGCAAATCGCAATATATTTGTTGCTCGGTGGCTAGAAGAAACCCATTTCGCCTTCGTACGGAAAAAATGATTTGTAACAATGCGAGAAGGAGGGTGTCATTTATTATATTCGATATTTGGGACGCTACGCTCAGTTTAAAATGGATCATTGTGATAGGCAATTAGTGATGTTGCTTGGAAAATATAAATTGTTGCGACCGCTGTCTAATATAAACTTTTTGTGCATATAAACGTGAATCAATATCAGTAACAAGAGATCACCTCATGTTTAATCGTTTAAGTGAAGTGCCACTATAAAAAATGCAAACCTTTTCGAAACTGCAGTAACATTCATAACTAAAACCGTACTAACGTAACGTAATTCAAACAATTATTGCAAACATAATACTTTAATGTGTTTTAACATGAGCAAAACTTATAAATAAATAAAAATTCATCACAGTGTCGTCGATAGTCATAGTCCTATGACGAACCGATAGTTATTTGATATCGCCGAGAACCAGTAGCCGCTTCGTACATAGCACGTTACTGTAGTTTATTTGACATCAATTACAATTATAACATAAATTAAATAAAAAAGTTTTTTTATTTAATTTAGTTTGAAGTTATGTCTTTTAAACTCCCGAACTAGCACCCCAATGTCGGACCTTTTCGATTTTGATCGATTTTGATCTGAATTTGCACTTTTACTCATACCTTTTACACGTATACTATGGAGTAAAATAGTGAAGCGCATAATAATAAAAATACCATCCCGACTGCTCCCGACACTGTAATTCTTAACTGCGGCACTCCAGGGGCTGAGCTAAGCATTATATTTATGACCTGTCTTATTATGAGCCACAAGCTATATTTTCAGTCTGTGGAAGAGAACCTTTTAGCAGTAAAACCTATTGTTGTACAGCCTTCGCGAGACAAAGTGAGTACTATCGGGATCCTAGGATAATTTATTATTTAAAAGTTTCCATGAATAATAAAAAATAGGCTAAATTACAAAATATCTGTATAAACTCACCAAATCTGCCAGATTTCCGAAGCGATTTCTGATGACTCCTTAATGCATCACATCCGGAGTCTGACTCCAATTCCATGCACATTGAGCTGTAGCTTTATGAATAATAAACATGTATTACTTAACAACTGAAGGTACTTTTCAATCATAATATGAGAAGTTTTAATTTTCAATTAATTAATTTATGTGGTCTCTAAAGGTTTATCTAATGGTAAAACAAGACTTAGCTGATAACATTAATGAGTATAAAACGAAGAAGAGAAATCGTTCTCGGAAAACTTTCTAAGGCGATTATTAGGTATTTATGCACTGTGACGTCATTTGATAAACCTCTCTTACTTCAAACCGGTTTATGAAGAAGCTAAATAGTTTTTTTCTTAACTTGCTCAAACTTTGACTATCTAAGAAGTAAGGAGAGACACAAGAGAATCGTCTTGGGCGAAAATAAAATTTATTTTTTGTATTTCTTACGGTAGGAGAAATATTCCTCTTCTTAAATTATTAAACTTTCACTGAAACGCTACCAATCAAAGGTAACGGCAGGTAAATATAACGACGCAAATAAACTTCTAGCAGAGGGCGACGAGAAAGACGTATAAACATTAGCATGTCGCGGAGCTGGAAGGAAACGAGGGGCGGGTGGCCTTCGTACGGCGGGGCGGCGACGTGTCGGCTCGTGTGTACGTAATCACGCCGCATTAAAATTCAGCGTTACGTTTATTATTTTTAAAGCAACGTTTTGTTTTACATGTCAATTGTTTTAAATATGCAGCAGCTGGAAAAAGTGCTGAAAATACATGGATTTTTTTATATGGATTGAAGGCGGTAACAATTATAACAATAACAATTTAATGATCAATAAAAGTATTCAAACCTGATAAAAAAGAATTGGGCCTGCAACGAGCGATCATTCGCTGATGCAGTATATAAAAGAGGTCCCCAAAAGGACGAAAATACTAAACGACACCTCACAATCGGATGAAAATGTTTATGGGGCCAATGTCTGGAGGGGTGAAGGGGAGAGTGAGACGAGAAATTAGTTGAAAGTGGGTCAAAGTCGCGCTGGGTCGTCGGCCCTCGTCGGAGCGTCTGAGGTAATTACGTAACCGAGATGTCACCCTCAGCGTGACATTGGCTCTTATTAACATTATTTTAAAGCATAAAATGCTATGTTTAATGTTAGTGTTAAGATCAAAATTAGATTTCTCGACACTGCATCTGCTATTATGAACCATTTACTGCTTTTTTGTGAAGTGAAGTGAAATATAAGAATACGAAATGAATTGAATAGAGCTTTCTTTAATAAAGCTCTCATTATAGCACGAACTTGTTTTTTGTATTCATTTAAAACAATAGTTGTTTTCATAAAACTCTAAGGCATGTAAAAAAAGATAATAGAAGTTCTGTTGTGGGATTTTCATTGCTTTATTGCTAAATGAAGAGATACTTACACTCCCTCTGATTGAATAAGCTCACTGTGCAGTAAAGTTCTCATATTGAATATATTTTCTTTTTTCTTCCACCTACTGAAACCTGAAAGACGGGACCACCTTTAGCTTAGCAAAAAAATTTAAGTAGCAGAACGTATTATATAGGATACGATCCGTATTTATTGTGCCTTATAAGTATTGCAGAGCAGGAATGACATCGATGTACTGTAACTCGTCTACAACGAGTAGTATGAAATCGGGCGCAATCATCGGCCAGGGACACTTCATAGCCCAGTGCCCATTTATATTTTGGGGCGTGCGCAATAAAATCAATACCGTGAACTTTCCGCGAGTGCACTGACCTACTCTCATCCGAGCCGTAGCCCAACCACCACAGGCAGCACAGGCGACATTTTTTACTCGACTATAATATGTAAAGCTTCTTCCAAACCTCTCTCTATTAAATTCTTGTAGCTCACTCCACGAATAACACAGCATTTCTAGAATGAATTGCGTAGCCCGTTTCATGCATATACCTACACGAACATACTTTTAAATTTGAAAGGTTTTGGTTCCAAGTTTTCTAATTTTATATATTTTATAGTATTCTGTAAGCGGCGAAAGAAATATTTTTATGCTATTTTAATGAGACTGGCAGACAGTGTAGATGGTTTATAAAATATCGTGAAATGTTTCGCTCGTAGCAAAAAACTCGCAAATAGAGCGTGGCACTTGAAAAAGATAAAAATCCATTTTGAATGCGCATATTTCCCCGCGAGGACTCCCGCACTCGCACCATAGACAAAGGCCGGTGAAATTACAGTCTTCCTTTTAAATGCGAGAATGAATCGCAATGTCTCATCTCAAAGCTTTGGAACTTGTGGAACACGACACCGCGCGTCCGAATTTCAGTGCAGGTTTCTATTTGTGCGCATCTCTCCCTCGGGATTTCGGTTTGGTTAGTTTTTTCCCTCATTCTTAATTGTTAACGTTGATAAGGCTCACTTTGGACAATGAAAGCATTTTGTCAAAGGTTCATTTGTCGTTCATTAAAAAATAAATGGTTTGAACTTCGGTAATTTTTAAAATAGCTAGTGAGGTACACTTTTTATATATATATATTTGCTAGTAACACTTTAAATGCAAAAAGATCATTTAGAAAGAATATAAGGCTCGCATTGAGCTTTTCTTGATGGCGTGTTTCTGTTTCGCAAACCGTTTGCCGCGAGACAAAAGCCGCGGGAATTACTTCGTGACTCAAACGGCGAAGGTTTTACTTTTCCTTTGAACCCTAGAGCTCATAAACAGATGAAATGGAAATGTTTACCTCTGGCATGTTTGTTTTTTTGCGTCTACGATCTCAGTACAAAATAACTGAGATGTAATAGGTACGTGCCTAGCGTAGCACTCACTGCGTTATACTAATGACTCCAATAAGTAGTTTCAAATAGAACTGAACATAAGACTTCATTCTGACGACAGAAACTAACGAAATTAATACTTACTATTGTATTCTTGGTGTAAATCAGTAATACGTTTTCTGAAAACAAGAAAATGAAAAACGAGTAAAAAGAGGGAAAAGTTGTACATAATAAGTTGAAAAGTAAATATTAAAAGTATACATTACTTGAATTGTTTGTTGTGTGCAGATGCAGTCCTTTGATAACACACACACAGCTTAAATTTCTTTTTAGTTTTCGCACTGTAGAGGCTACCATTGTCCGAAACTGTGGATGTTGTACAAAATATGTAAATCTCTAGCCCTTTGAAGCCGTTTTTAATACTTTTTTTGACTGAATATAATTTTATTGTTAAATACTGGCACGTTTTATATAGAAAATGTAAATTATTTGACAAAAGTTAAACCTTACGTGGTTTGAACTTTGACTTACGTTAATATTTGGTTCAGCCTTGGTATTCTGATAATCCGTGATTTCAACTCACATTTCCCTAATAGAAGTACTTTTGTCACTCACCTCAGTTTTTCATAAAATATTTTGTAACAGTAATTACAACATTTAGCAAAAGGCCTATAAAGAAGATAATCTAGTGTTGGTACTTCAAGGAGAGGTTCAAAGATCAAACACACTAAAATAATATTACCTATGTTTTATCTAACATTCATAAAAACTGAATCGAAGTTCTTTAAAATCAGTTCGTCTGATGGCAAATGACTCTGAAAATAATTATAAGTCATATTTTACTGAGATGATTCTTATCAAATTATTTAACATTTCAGACTTTACGTTGTTTAAAGGTTTTATGTGAATATTGTACGTGTTTTATTATTTTCCTTAACTTTTCTATAGTTAAATATGCTATGCAAAATATTGTTGTGGCAATACAGATGCGACCTAACTCAGCTCACTATTTTTATTTATTTCATCTATTCATCAGACACTCGGTTCATTTATATGACAGCAAACATTCTCACTCGAGCGGCGCTTTTGTCGCGGTTATTATTTATCAGAATGCCAAATCGTAATATGATTCCTTCACGTGTGATTTGCGAGCGCTGTGTGAGTTTGTATCAAAGTGAGTATCAGAACCGCAAGGCATAGCAAGAGGAGTAGAAATAAAGTTATTTAAATTAAGAATTAGAAAAGTGGCTGTAATTTAAACAATAAGGATCGTCGTAGTGTGGCATCAAACCGTTTCGAGTTTATAGTAGATGTCCAATTAGGACTTATGCGTGTACCCTCATCACCGTTGACATCTGCCGGACAGTTCCAAGGACGGACATCATGACTAAATGATGCTACTTCACGGCGTCCAGACTCATAGTACTTTACGACCAAATCGCGCAAATTAAATAGCAAACTTAGGTTAAACAGCACCCTATTTACCTGCAGATAATATATTACGATACAATACAGACGTAAAATGTTTCATCATTGTGTTTTACATTTTCAGACATTTATAAAGCAAACATCGCGATGAATTCGTTGACAAAAGAGTCAACTTGCTTCCCGTTTTAGCGAAAGATTAAGAACGCTTCAGAATAACGTTCCTACGGACTCAATAGAGTTTATCACATAACACCGAGCCACGCTCCGAGTACTTGTACAGAAGCACAGATTAATAAAAATAAGCATTGAAACGACGAAGGATAATCTCGAACGGCTTTTATTTCATTCGCCAATTTCGATTTTCAATTAAATTTTGTGCAAATCGAATCGATGGGATCGGAACGCTCCCAGCAGAGTGTTTGACAAATAGTAAGCTCCAATTTATTTCATCTCATTTAAATGAGATTCTGCGAATAAATCACCATTCAAAATTCCCGTCTAATTTAGGACAACGAGTGAGTACATGTGGAAACATAATTATATCTTTATCGCGATAAATAACGAATTACTTCTCATATATAAATAATATTATGTCATATGTTATATTGTGCATTCAATAAAATTACTTACAAGACGAATTAATCTTGTATGTCTTACTCACCAATTATTTTATCATTGTATGTTACGAGTCCGCCCATCCGCCATCTGCGAAATAACATGAATGTACGTTGAATCAGAAATTTGTTAAAAATATAGCATTTCTTCGTTCTTCTGATGTGCTTAAATAGATAAAAAGTAGTAGCGCAAGATAATAAGGGAGAACAGTACAATAGAGCCCCGACCCGGTATCTTATTACTACACCTTTCTTATTCACATAACAAGTTTGCTATAAATTAAAAAGCGTCGAGAGCCCTCGGAAACAATGGAGCGTCACCTTCGGCAGACAATACCGGCCGGCCTCTTCACACCGCTCCTCACCTCCACTTGATGGGGCTCTTCCGACTCCATAAAAGGACATTGTCCCGGGTTCCTTCAAATGCTCTTTGACACGGGGCTTTTTTTGACATGTGCAAAATACCATAATTTGAACAATTTTAAATGCGTATACAATATACATATGTATCGCATACAATCCACCGGCGAAGAGCTCGGTCGATTTCACTTACACATGTATCGTGACATAATATCATCATGAACCAACTAAGACTAGGAACTCGTATCAAACACATAATTGTATAATAATAATAATAATACAATTACAGTCAAAACCGTTTATAACGACATCGTTTACAACGACCTATCGGTTATTATAACCAGATTGTATGGTCCCGTCCGAATCCCTAGTAAACTATTCAGTAAAGAAACCGCTTATAACAACATCGGATACAGCGACATATCGCTTACAACGACGAAAGTTTATCGATATTCATCGGATATAACGACCAACCGCTTCTTGTCTCGGTAAAACAAAACAATACAAACGATTTTAAATTTTATTTATAAGCATTGAATGAATATTTAGGCATATTATTACCTACGCACTTTCTCCCAACGAACAGTTTCAGCCAACAACGATTTCCGAGGCTCTTAACGCTGTAACGATTTTGCAAACATTTGTTGCCTTTAACGAACAGTTTGATACTGGTGATACTCATACCTTGAGGAGTATGAAACGTAAAATGCAAAAAATATTTGAGACTGGGCTAAAAAAAAAAAAACAGACTGACTGATTACTTTTGTACCTAATTATTTCGTAATAAATATTTTTGTTGCTTTTTTGACTCGGTTACATATTATAATATTAACATACCATATTATAACCCATACCTACCTATTCTAGATCGATAACTATGTACATACATATGTACTGTACTTGTGTACATGACATTGCTTATAACGACTATCGGATATAACGTCGGCAACTATACGGTCCCTTCAATGTCGTTATAACCGGTTTTAACTGTATGTGTTTGATACGATTCTACAATTTGAAGCCATGTTTTGAGCCTTTTCGTACAAATAAAAGCAATAATAAAAAATAAGACATGTTGTACATATTTAAAAAGTTTTTATCTAGTATTTTAAAAATATTAATTTTGATATGAATTATAACTCATAATAATAATACTAATTGATATATTTTTTAACAGAAATACACTTCCATAATTTAAGGCTAATTCTTAGTTTATTCGAATTTAATAAATTTAATCAGAATTTGAGAAATGCTTCTGTGGGTGCTCGGAGGGCACGGGGCGACGGGAGACGCCCAGCACATCCATCATACGCCCTGTCGATACAGCTGACGTTCCACATAACGACTGCGTTTGCAGTTTATAAGCCGACCGTGGAATATTAAATTAATTTGTGTATTAACAATCAATGCAAATTTAGACACATTCATTTTGAACTTAAATTTTATGAGAATGATGTAAAGAGATGAGAATCGTATTCGCTCTATTAGAAATATTTCTCTTTGAACCGATATCGATGATGGATACGCTCATTTATTTACACGTAAGCAGCTGCGGACGGCTCTATCTTTCTTTGTACACGTTTATTCTTCGGCATTGATGGATGACGCATATTCATAAATTTAACCTCCACATTCTCAATCTAGTAAAGCGGTTTTTAGCTCGCCATAGTAGTCACAAAATGCATTTTGCTTGGACTTTTTAATATTTTCAATAGCAGAAGATGTGCACATTCGAAAAAGCCCGATCAATACATTTTTCGACAGGAGTTTAAATCTTTTGTTGTCAACTTGCGAACGGCGACCGGCGAGGGCAATATATTGCAGTGGCACGCCATTAATCTTTCAAAAGCCTGAGTCAATGCAATCCGTATGTAGGACACTCAAACGAACTGGCTTCGCGAATTGTTCACGTGGCTTCTATGGAAGGTCCACACGGGCCCAGACTTCAACTTTATTTGGATACTTCTAATTTAATAAAACACTATTTTGACCGGATTGAAGTTATGTATTATTATAAATTTACAACTATTTAACATAATTTTAAATTTATCCGACGTTTCCGTGACCACGCACCGTGACCACGCACGCTGTAAAGCACGCGAAACGTCAGATAAATTTAAAATTATGTTAAATACATAGTTGTAAATTTATAATAATACATAACTTCAATCCGGTCAAAATAGGGTTTTATTAAATGAATAAAAGTTATGTTAATCAAAGACAATACTATTCTTCTAATTTGTGTAATAGGAAACAAAACGGTTTGGTACACCCATTCGGTGCATAAGTATACATATGGCGAAACAAGTAATACTGTATACTGTAGTGAGCTTACTTTTATGGCACCGTTCAACTTAATTCTAGTTGGGGCCCACGGATAAAATATAGCTATTTTTATTTTTATGTGATTTTGTCATTTTATGTTGTCATATTAGTTTATAGGAAACCATTATTTTTATATTAAAAAATGAAATCAAACAAACTTCGACACTAAGGTGCTTGCTAAGTAGCCTGCTCTGATATCTTATCAACATATTCAATTGTTATGTGAGATAAGAGCAAATTCTCACCAGTCCATACAAATTTACTTTTCCTATACGAATGTCCTTGCCACTGAAGGTACGAAACCGGTAAATTTTCGTGTATTCGTATTCGTATAGAATGGGATACATTAATTTATTTATTACTAACCTAACCTAACCCTTCAATCAACTTGCAGGTCGGCGCATAATAAATCTATTTATTGAAGTGATTACCCTACAAGACTAAGTAAAACTGTATTACAATTGCTAGTATTGACTTGTATCTCGGTTTACCGGTGATGGCTGTGATGCAGCGAGAGTGGGTCGCAGCCGAGACCAAAACGAGTATTCGTGTTTTACGGAATTGAACGTTTCATTCCAAAAATGGATTTTTATTTAAAATGAACTCGAATTTTAAAATGGCTTTGAGATTTTACGGCGTGTGAAATTGTTTTCGTGCGTGTATCTCTACTTTGAATACCGACGATGCGAATTCAGTCAGAATTATTCCATTCACCAGTACGGACTTAAAAGCTTTCCCATTTGCCTTGCAACATACACGAAAGATCAACTTTCAAAATTATTACAGAGAGCGATATTTACAGTATAACTAATTTCATAAGTAAATTGACAATGGAGTAACCACTCAAATACAACGTTGTACGCATTGTCGTATCGCAGACCTCTCTCAGAAACAGAACATCGCCTTCCGGGCGTTTATCTCCTGCAGAAAAGCATAAAAAAGCAAACCTATAAGCCTTTAAAGCAACAATGAAAAATACGAACCGTTTTACGTGGGTAGGGCGGGCGGTGGAGGAGGGTGGCAGCGAGCATGAACAGAGCCCCCACGCCAGCGCTGCGGCCGCTGAGGAGCAAAAAAGAAACACATCAACAACCTCTGCAATTATATCGGCGTGAAACGCAGTGGTCGCTAACACTCGTCGGTGCACGCTATACGGATCTCGCGTTAATTATGATGTTACGCAAAAATAAAATAATATTCTAATATTCAAATTGTTTTCTCTTTATTACATAAAAACGCGACGAATAAATCCTCAATCCATCCACGAGTCGACGATGCGAATAACGTATTTTTATTAAAAAATATTGCCTAAGTTGATATGTGTTGTGCACAAAAACACAAGATAGCATTTTTTTATTTTAATATACTACGAGTATATAAAGTTGAATTACCAGGTTTCATTCATTCATTCGTCGCCTTTTATTTCGAGGGGGTTGTTGCTTTGATGTTTTCGTATAGAGACTCCAAAATCAGGTAAGAAGAGAATTTAGAAATTTCAACGGCCTGCCTTAACGGCGACAATTAGCGGCAGCGAATTTGTGACATTTGGTCAACAACAGACAGAAATTTGATGGGTTAAAAGTTGTAGCCATACTAATAAATCACATAAATCGCGGTTTGTGTACCCTTATGGTTGAAATTTTTGAAACGTCTTCTATTTGGTCGGGCGGATCGTTGGCGTAATTAAAATTGGTCTTCCAGACTTCATCTCCAAGTTTCATAATACAAAACATTAAACGGCCCGCGTGAACAGTGATCAGCTACTTAGGACGGTGATGGGGGTGGCAGTGTGGTGTACCATTTTAGAATTTGTCGCTTTTTGTCCAAAACATAAAAATTGTGAGTATCGTAGTATGACTTATGGACTTATAATTGTCTGCTTAAAAAATAAATAATTATTATATTAAACTTTCATCAGGTCGGGGATATAGGAAATTTATGAAATCTGAATCTTTTCATCTGCTTCCCGGGAGACACCAACGGCCTAGCTTATCCGTAAAGCGAAATGGGGTATTTTAATAAAAGTTGTCAAAAATCTTGAGTAATGGGGAAGATTACTGTCAAATAGTTCTTTTGGAGGGCGCCAAATGTTTGTTGCAGGGAAGCTGTCAAAGTCCATAGTAGTTAAAACTTCGCGATTTTTTACATTTTATTATTAAATGACCAGTGTGTAGCTTTTGGATGTAACGAAATAGGTTCACATAAATTCCCTCCCTAAGAAGAAAATGGGAAAGAGCATTGAGAAGAGTTAATTTTAATTTCCTACAGCACATTCACATGAGCATTATTGTATGCTGCCATATTTTATAATTATTCTCAAATTAATTTCGTACTGAATTTACTGAAATTACTGTCGTAGGCCTCCAATCTATAACAAGGAATAAATGATTTATGTATGATACTTAAATGTGAGGTTATAATTTTATTTATCTCTTTGTAATACTTTTTAGTAATTGTAAGATATTGTCTGACTTATTTTATGTGCGTAAAGGTATTCTAGTAGTCATAACAAGTTTCTTGGTAGCTGGGGGTGGACGACGGACTAATAATAAACTAACTTCGCTATCAAATCCGCTTTCTTTCGCTGCCGCGAAGCACCTCGACTTTTCAACTTATTCTTTAGATCTTCTCTATTCTCCAAGTAGAAGAAAGAAGAGAAGAGAATACACGTTGAAAAACTTGTTTTAACCAGAAAATAGATCGGATTCGTAAAAAAAAACAAAGAGATTTTTTGACGTTCTACTGAATGGAACAAACAATCAGCGCCCTCTATTGGAAAAGTTTCTAGTGGTCTTCCCCATTGATAAGTAGAAAAAATTCAAAATGGTCGAAAAAAAGAAAATTGATTGGTACTACTTACTAGTATTGATTGGTAGTACTTAGTGGGTACTAATCGACTCGAGCATTAAATCTCTATACTCTAAAGTTTGTTCTAATTTCTGGTTTCCATTTTCCATATAGCCCTAAATTCAACGGACCGGGGAAGCAGTACCTAATAGGTGAAATAGTAATATGGGGGTGGATTCTAAATAAAAACTTGGGGCCTAGGGGTGGTTGAATTTTTACATTAAAAACAATCTAATGTATGAAGAGCCCTATTCCACGGTTAGCCAGATTTGGTTTACTTGCGAGAATTGGAGTGGTATGAAATGGTGCGGAGTTGATAGAAGAGATGCGGATCGAGTTATTTTCATCCGTTTGCATCATTATATTGGACCAGGGACCAGGCTGTTTGTCCGGGAGAGATGAAAATTTAAAAGAAAATCCTCCATCCACCTTTGTCCTCGACACAAGAAATTTGCCGAGAGCTTCGATGCATTCACCTGAGAATGTGAAAGCCTTCACAGGTAAGGCAATTACGAAATACGGTCCTTCGTAGGCGATATAATTTATTTTCCAAATTCCCAGATAATATGACTTTTTGACCTTAAACCCCCTAACTGCCGGTAACGCACCCACTAAAATTGGTGTCCATGGGCTGCCCTTTTTAAGCGACATGTTGGCTCGTTTACCCTTTGTGCTATGAAAGAAATAAAAAGACTTGCGGGCCCCGTCCGGCCCAGGTCACCGCGCATCCTCAAATTAAAAATGTATCTTTAAACGTAAACTTTTGGACCAAGTTTTTGAAAGCAATTTAACCATTCTCAGTATTGTAATTATGTAATATACATAGTTTTTGGTAGGGGATTTATTATATTATTTACATTATATATTTCCGGGAAATATGGGTTAATAACTGAATAACCCCCAAACGCGGGCTACATGCAGTGTGAGTGTAGCATTTCAACTTGGACAGTGAATTATCATCCGCAATATTTGAAGGGAACTTTTCTTTTTAATTCTCTGGTAAGGTTTTAAGTTTCAAACCCCTCACACCTCAGACCCCGCTGGCCCCGCGGCCTACCTTAACAGTAGGTATTTACTAGGAGCGGAAGTCATTTGATTAAGTTTTCGAAAGCATTTCAACTTTTATAAAATCAAAATCAAAATCAAAATACGTTTATTCAATTTAGATGCTTCTTAGAGCATGCTTATGAATGTCAACAACGTTTACAAAATTCACGAAAGAGCAAGACTACGCCATCCGTTCGCAAAACTACCAGGAGGCCTTGTTCTGAGAAGAACGGGCAAGAAACTCAGCAAGTTTGCCCTCCCTTTACATTACAATTATTCAAAGGAAAAAGTCATAAACCACAACGTCATTAAAATTACATAAGTAAAAAAAAATAAAAAATCTGTTCTGTGATTTACCACATTCACCATTACACACATATTCATAACACTTCAAAGATAACAAATCAAATTATAAGAATATAATTAGAACTATTGCCAAGCGTTTTTATCTTCCAGGTAGTCATTGACTGTGTAGTAACCTTTACACATTAAGGTTTTTTTGATGTGTGTTTTGAATCTGTTTAAAGGCAGTTCCAATATTTCACTAGGAATCATGTTATAGCAGCGTATACTTAGGCCCATAAATGAAGTATTTATTTTCTGCAACCTGTAAGACGGCTGGAAAAGTTTTCCCTTATTTCTCTAGGTATTGCCATTGCAGAAGTATCTCCTTCCTTTAGTGGATGTGACCTATTGTACTGACTCATAGACCTACACTACAGCCAGCGCACCTCGCGACCCCTTGCTTTAATATAATTACGACTACAATACAAAAATACATCTTAATATTTGCAACTACAGTGACAAGTCGATTGGCATCTCTAGCAGGAGAATAACTTTTAATGACGAGAAAGTGGGTATTCGGCTTAATAGTAAAATTAATATAGATTTTTCCGAATTGACTGAATGTAATGTATATGTATGACTCAATTATCGAATTCGAGAATCGTTTTGGACAGTTACTGCCGTCGTAATGGCATTCAAAAGTAAAATACCGTAATCATTAAAAACGAATACAATACATACTTTTCAACATTTGTTGACTACCTGACCGATTGAAACGATGTTTTCTTTTGTCTTTGTTTACGAGGAGCTCCACCATTATGATTAAGGTGTTTTTTATAGAAAAGGGGGAAAATGAGCAGGAGGCTCACCTTATGTTAAGTGACCGCCGCCCATGGACACTCAGTATTCTCCGACTATTCTCCATTAAGATGCTTCTTCCTATGCGTCGACGTCAACAGAGGGAGAGGTCCCTATATAGTACGGGAGGTAGCAACGTTTGAAAAGAAAGAATTTTTATTTTCCAAATTCAAAAAAAGTATGTCAGGTAGACTTATTTAAAAACGAAAAATCAAAAACTACGCTTCTTAAAATGCAATGCTTCATCATACTGCAATACTTTTTCATTTTAATTCAAGACTTAACAATCGAATTAATGTCTGGCAAATTCATTTTTAGTTATTCTTATATTTAAATAACATAATATTAAAATTACAGACATTCTAAAATACTTTGAAATTTTTATAAAAAAAAAACTTAAAATCGCGTCTGGCACATGGTTAGCAATGTGAAAAATGTCTGGCAATAAAAAAAGTATGTCAGGTAGACTTATTTAAAAACGAAAAATTAAAAATTACGCTTCTTAAAATGCTTTTAAAATCCAGGATTATTACCTGGACAGATAGGATGCGCACTAATGAACGCAACCGCTACCGCCAGCCAGATTGCCCAGACTCTAACCGAAAGTGCAAGAAGGAAGACATATCACAAAATCAGCTGACCTGAAATTCTTTCTCGAAAACGTTGCTACCTGTACTAATAAGATGGCTCCCTATATATACGTTTATATTAATTATTTATACTTTGACTGTTATTCCCACAGTATGTCACAGTCTACTGCTGATAGTGGTTAAACTTTATTTATTTATTTATTTAAGAATATTATAACTAATTGTTTCAGCAAAGAGCGCGTCTGAACCCTTATTTTTTTGTTAATTTAATTGTTTCTAGTACTGATCAAAACAATTATGAAATGCGCTGTTATAATTACCGCATTTAGCTTATGAAAAGGCTGCTCTAGGAAAATGGAAAATCATAGTTTCCGAAGTTTTCTCGCTTTGTTTCGCCTCGAGAGTCAGAAAGGAACTCGTTTAACTCACGAAATGCTAATTAAAAGTAGAGGCTCTATCGAGCTTGTTTTCAGGAAAGATTTGAAGAGTTTCAATTAACCATTCCAAGTATGTGTGAAACATTCCTGAGAGAACCTTCAAGACTCGGCAACACTGTGCTTTTCCTATTACAGTCGTTCACATTTGACGACACTTACCCAAGCAAATATAGTCCCAAGTCAAATCTAAATTGATAGGAAGGAGTTACTAATTCTATCTCGTGTTAACGTTTGCGCAGTTAGAAAGAAGGTTTCTCCTTAAAAAATAACAAAACAAACTTTTGTTTGTCTTTATAATATATTGCTTTCAAATTACGAAATACAATTTATAACGCTTCGGTTAAACCACATGTAAATTCCATATTTCTATACAGCGATTATATATCTATATATATGGTATGAAATGAAAGTGCCCATACGCGACGGACATGTATGGCAAATGTCCTGAAAGCGAATGAAGCGAGAGAGCTATGGAAGGATCGTATCAAGTGGAGATCCGTGCTCTTTGTCTCTCGGGAAGAACGCAGTATTCAACAATTCATTTGAATAAATAATGAATAGTAGCACACGCATTAAGCACTCAACGTGACTTTCACAATATTTTGACAATTTTCTAGTTCTGTATGAGTGTTTGTGAGTAAAGGTGAATTTACCGAATATCATTAAGAAACGAGGGTGTTTGGTGAATGATTAAGTGTAACCATTGTGCCTCATGTAAGTTAAATTTAATTATTTCTGGGAATAAAAACCTCCATAAAGAGTTGTATATGTATACACCGGAAGCAATTCGTGCGCGGAGGTGGGCCAGGCCCTAATGTCACCCTCATAAGTATTGAAACGCCGAGTTTGGAAAACTCATTTCCTTTATTGAATTTCCAATAAAATATGGGTATTTTCTGGTTTTACACGTTTATCATTGGTTGTCACATTCGGTAAAAAATAAATTAATATGTAACAATTAAATAATTAAAGGTCAAGAATACCCTCCTTTTTTACAGTCGGTTAGCTAAGTTACAGTTAGTATTTGCCGCGACAAACGGCTTTGAACTGTGACACGGTCAAAGAGGTTTACAGGGAATAAGGAAGGAATTGGAAAGAATTGAAAGGGAGAAATAAAAAAATTCACAGAAACACGGAGGTCGGAGTTTTTCCTGTCACCGGGCACAAACAATGCCCTATTGTGCGAGGTTCCCCGCCCGCTACCGCCCTACGGCTCGGAACTGCTGAGGAAACGAGCGTCTTTTGTTTCCATACCTTCCCAGACCCGTGCGGAAACGGGAACTTTGAACCCGCGGTCACCTGTGACCCCACACATGTCATCTGGACTCACAGACTCATTACATTTAGACTCTTAAACGAATTGTCATGCATTGTTTTACTTTTATTTTGATCGATAAAATATTTATTCTATAAATAACATAATAGTGTACTTTGAAATAAGTAATAAATTTCACCTGAGTTCTAAGTTGGACGATAAAAGTCTTAAGTGTTCTTTTGCTAAATTCGCCAGAACTTAGGTGTTATTTTTAATAATTAATTAGTTTTATTCTAATAATTACAGCTGTCTGTATCTGTTTCTGTAGTAAGCGGTTTACTCCATAAAATAATTAAAATAAGATAATAGTTGATTTCTGCGTAAGCAATTCGCACTTAGTTCATACATAAGCTCATTGGGACATTTGAACAGCTATTTGCGAACTCAGTCAGCTGAACCACACACACCGACCATCAAAACACAAATTATTTTAAAATGTGTACTTGAAATATCGAAAACATCATTTTCTTCACACATTGTTGGTTAACGTAGTAAGTGATTAAACTACTGTTCCTAATAATAATGAGAATAAACGACATCGCATAGTTTTAGACACCTCAATTTCTTTCTTTCTCAATTTCAATTAAACAATTGTTAATTTTAGATAGTGATTAGTAATTCTCAGTTTGTCGGACAATGTTCTCGGTCAGTCAGAATAGCTCTTTAAATAGCCACCATGGAGTAGCGGAGCTCAGTATTTTTCCTTTTGTATTTTCTCACTACACTTTAAAATAGCGCTTTCTATGTACGACCTTATTCTTCACATCTTTCGCTTGCTTCACAAAGTGAGGTTAAATCAAAAATATGATATTATTTTTATTGCATACACGATTGGTCGTTTAATGGGAGTTTAATGTGAGATTTACTTATTGCATGTCTAACAAAATGCATTAATTTGAGGACGTGTTCAAAAGGCCTCTGTAAAAGCATTATTCAGTCGTACAATATGTGGCATTTCGAGACCCTCTGCGCCGCCCTTTCCTTATGAGTGTCTAAAGAGCTTCTGAATTGTTCATACAAAAGTGAAAATGGAAAATACAATTGTAATGTGTTCGGTTGCTCTTGATGACATTAAAAAGGAACCATTTCAATAATAAAACAACATTGTTTCCAGCTATTTGCACAAGTTTTAATAAAATAACATAAAAATGTTATTTTATTACAACAAAGAAAATTTCAAAGCGCGATAAATGTTTGTAACGTTTATGGACCTAATGCAGTGTAAGGAAGAGTAAGAGTCAGTTAGTTTAACAGTGTGAACGACGTCTTGTGGACCAGGTACGACTTGGACCGGAAATGGATGCCCATGTTTAAAAAGTAGAGCAAGATTGGCATATCATTAGATACGACTTAGCTGAAGAAGTGGGAATTGACCACAAAACAGTTTTGACCCTTTTGAATAAAGCATGATATCCAAATGGAAGTAGAGAGTATTGATCAAGTGTGGTCTTTCTTCACGTTGATGCTAGACAATATACATAATACGCTACGCCTCAAAAGAGAGGTTTGATAGAAGGTCCAGATTTCCACATGTTAGTTTCTTCACAATTCTAACAAAATCTAAAGAGATTTCCCAAAACTAATTTTCAAGGTTTTTGTCAATATTTGAAATAAATAATGTCTAAAATAAAATGCGAAGTTTTCCTGACCTTCATTTTTAATTACCTTGACACAGAACTTTACCCTTATTTACGCTATTATATAAAAGAAGAAATGTATAATTATTTTTACTTGTGTTAATACTTACAGAAAAGAGTGAGGTAGTAAGCAGTTTCCATTGTTACATCTGTAAGTAAAAATAATTGTCTTAAAAAAAATGTTCACATGATCTATTTTACCGTAAATAAAATGGGCAACAGAACGCGACGTGGTCGTTATAATAATAATTTTCAAAAGGCTTATGTAGCTTTGTCCAGGATTTCGTTTTGAATTTTTGCAATCGCTTAGTTGTAGTATCAATGATTACAAACCAAACTCCTTTTCTTTTTATGTCTTAATATAGATTAGAGGAAGAAAATAAATGTACAAAAGTTCAAAATCCGAGGTGAACATGACGACATTTTCTTTGGCGGTACTTTAAGACCTTTTAAGCTTCGTCGTATAGTCGTGAGAGATTAGAGAAGATTAGAAAACAATATGAAAATGCATTGTTGATTTGGTGTTTCTTGCCATTAACCACTGACAACAAGAAGTATTTAAAATGATGTTGCCATCTTTTTAATTAATGAAGTATTTGTATTTAATTTTCGTAGATGTAGTATAAAGTGCACATGGTATCACTTTTACCTTTTCATGTATACTGTACTATTACTTGCACGCCATTCGAAAATTAATGCCAACAAATATGAATTTGACCGTAAGTAAAGTTAATAAAGTACTTAGATAAAGTAGGAGTAAAATAATGACATGTTATATGTGATGATTGATTGTGGTCTACCATTTTGTATTTTCTAGCAGACATTGTATCCTCAGTGGTTTACTATATTTTTCTTTGTTATTTTATTAGTTTTTCAAAACTGTGGTCGTAAGTTATAACATCATCGATACAAACTGCACTTCTTGACTAATTTTTGACTTTAATTAATTAAACAGAAGTTGGCCAAACTAATTATATTCTAGCTTTTTTATGATGACCCCACAGTTTACAATTTCACTTAGGAGTTGTCAGAAAAATAACACGTCGTTTTCCCGACACTCGACACTTTACGTATAGACTTTATATCGAATTTATATTTCCACAAGAAGAAAATCGCTGGAACAACATATGACTAAAATTCTCAAATGATTTTAATTCGCTGTATAATATCGACTTATAGATCTGCTACGTAATAACTCTACGCATTTGGCATTCAACTATGACCAAACGTGTGCTACGAGCTACGAGAAGGTTGCTACGTCCTTATGATTGAATACATCAACATAGTATTCAAATTTAATTAATTCTCACCCTTATACTCGAATATAAACTTTTTAAGTTAATCGTATTTATTTATATCTGATTGAAGGAAGGGAGTTGTATAAATTAATTTAAAAGTTAAGTTCGACCAACTCACCGACTCTAGCGATGCTCTACAAGGAGCGCGAACATTGTAAAGTTGAGCGATATCACTACACAGTTTATAAACACTGTCCGTTTAAGTTTCAACGCGTCAGAACACGCGAGTAGCGTCGGCGAAGTCGGAGGCCCGGAGGCTGCGGCCGAGGCGAGAGAGAAGCGTGGAGCATCGCGAGCGACTGAGCCGAATACATCCAGCCTCCCGCACTCGCCTTCCTATTTTATATATCTCCTTTATATACCGATTTATATATTTACCCGCACTCATACATATTTAACTTTTTTCCATTTCACGTCGTTTTTCGCGTATGTGAGCTCGGGACGCCGTCGACGCGGCCGTGTGTGCGTTCCCGCCATTCGAACCAAACCATCTCTCCACTTCTATTTATTACGTATTTTTAGAAAGGGCAAAGCTTTTATACCTTTCTTTTCCACTGTTAGCTCTAGTTCAACTCGCTTCAACCCCGGTAATAATTATTCATGGCTGTGCATTACATTACTGAAAAATATCTTGCGTATATATTAGTCTATTAAAAATCCGTCCCGATTGAAACAAAATGTTAATTATTAACATAACAATATATTATATCCGTCTCGAAGTTGGTTAAACAACATTTTGGCATAAGCACAAAAATGGCATAAGAGTACAAACAGCTGATTCTGCGGTTAGATAATGCAATTTATGTTTAGCAGTCGCGACCCAATAACACGTCATTTCCAATTTACGATACGACACGCGGCTGGGAATATTTAAGGTTATGAGGTATATATACATATATATACACACACATGCACATATATGTTCATGCACCCACTTCAATAACTGTTTATTGCTCTCTCACAGCTGACAATTGATTGCCAATACTGTATATTTCATACATTTTATAGTGCCTTTTGCCTATTTTAACACCAAATGCCTAACAATAGGTTTTAATTCGTGATACCGGTTCACCCTCTTCAGCAGTATGTATCTTGACTTCAGGGCGAAGGTTCTACTATTACAGAAAAATATTTATTTAGGCAAATAAAGTGTGTGATGACAAATGGCCGCCGCCTACAAACCATTAAAGCTCCGAGTTTGCACTCGTTTAAAGCCTTTTGTAGTTTACGTGCTTCAAATTGCGTTTTTATTCGCTGCGAAACAAAGAACGCTAAAAGCGAAGAGGAAAACAATGAAAGCTCGAGAATTTTCAATAAATATGTGGATGAAAACCTTCGTGATTGATATATTGGCGAAATAATTAATTTTCGGATCTTGTGATTGTATTTTACAGAGAGATTGGGCTGTATATTGTAGTAGGTACTATGTAAAAGAAAGGAAAAAATATGTTTTCTTAATTTTATTTTGTATCAATGTTAAAGCTATCGAAATATATATCGATGGACATATATGTGCTCTGAAATCGCAATTACGCGGTTAGAGCTCGAAATCCATTGAGTACCGAGCCCCTGAAAACCTCTCACAGGAAATTACAATTTGTTGCTTCGCTGCTAATTCTAAATAAAGAACTCAACACGCAAAGAAATAGCCATTACTCCTCAGTTTCTTTGCATGCCTGTTTATTACACTCTGCCTGGTTTTAATTAAAAATCCGCTTCGACTCACCGACATTTATATCGTAGTATCTTTTGAAGTCGAAAAGATACTTAAATGCGGCTTTAGCGGCAACATAACATTTCCCTATGTCCTATCTTGTAAAAGATAAGTCCGTAAAATACGCATAATTAGTGAAAACGACAGTTACACTTGCCGTAGAAGGGCCAGATGCACACAGAAACAAGCAGTGAGCTCTCGACGGGTTGTGGACTAACGACGTGGACTATTTTTAAAACTACATCGGCTTCGCGTAACTTTGTCCGTTTGTTTTGTCCTCGACGTATGCTTGATTAAGCGAGAGCACTGTAATCGCATCCAACGGTTTGAAATCGCATCGGTTTACGCTAAATTAAACTGTATGTACTCTGGATAGAGGCCGACAAAAGTA